GAAAGAAGTCTAGCTTGGGCTTGGACAGGATTCACCGTTTTCTTGGACTTTTTCTTGGGAAGGACTTTAGCAACTAGTGACTTGGCCAGCTTTAAGCTGTCTTCAGTCTGCTTCTTTTGAAGCTCTAGCTCTTCTCTAGCCCTTAATGCCTCGAGTCTTTTAGCTTTAGATAAGAAGTCAAACTCACCACCACTAGAGGTACAAAGAGGAATTTTTACTCTAGTCTAGTCGAGTGACTCCTTAAGCTGAGACATCTGCTGATTTGTTGGAGCACAAGAGATGGGTTGATCAGATACCCACTCCAGTCGACCGCAAGTTGTTGATGGGATATGAAGTTGATATTCTGAAGTAATCACTACCTGAGAGGTAGAGTCTTCAAACAAGGTTTGTTGAGGGATTTTCAAAAGTACCTTCAAGTTACCTTCTTCAGCAACCGCCTTGCCTTTCGACTTGGGGTCCTGGTTCCCTGATGAAGTCGATTCACCTTGCCTTTGCTCCCCCTGGGATACAGAGTCCCCGAGAGCAACACCTTTGGTGACGGTTGATGGCTTCTGGAACWTGATGGTAAAGTCATCTTCATCATCATCGTCGTTGTCACCATCTAGATCATCTCTGGTGTCTGGAATGACAGGTTCATCATCGTCTTCATCATCATCTTCATCATCATCATCAACATCATCATCCTCACCAGCAGCAGTGATGGTATGGACATCATCCCTAGGGATGGCTTCGACGTCCTCAGCTAGAGCAGCTTCGGTGGACATGGTTATAGGAGCAGCAACTGCTTTAGCTCCGAGAGCCTCAGCTTGAACTGCAACTGAAGTTGATACTGGGCCAACATCCTGAGAAGCTGTAGGAGCAGCATCAGATGATTCACCAGCATTGGACCTCATCTCCCCCTCTCTGGCTAAGGCTCGAGAGAATTGGCCAGAGAGTTCGTCCAAGCACTGATGCTGGAGAACCATGGAATCCTCCAACCTTTGCAAAACATTGGCTAGAGTTGTCTTTGCCTCACGCGTCTCATGGAGCTGGACGCGATCATCGGCAGAGAAAGAAGGTGCAATCACTAGAGCTGGTTAACAGACAACATCCAGGATTTGTTAAAGAAGACCAGTCTGCTGATCAGCTATTGCCTGAGCATCGTCAGCCCTACTGTGAAGAACAGCAATGGCGTCGTTGTTGGCGTGAACAGCTTCTTGGAGAGTCTGGAGCTGACTCTAAACTTCTTGAACATCCGCCTGGAGGGCAAGGAAGTTTGCATCAAGATCGCCTTGGCGGGGCATCTCTTGGTGAACTTCGTTGATCCTGGAGAGGACGGTATCAACGGCTGGAAGGAGAAGCTTGATATCCGATGACATATTATAGTCATCATCAATTTCTTCATCTCCTCCATCATCTTTCTCTCTTTCTTCCTCTGTCACTTCCTGAGAAGGACCTATAAAAGAAGAAGTGTGAGCTGAAGGCTCAAGGTTAGAAGAAATGAAGGGGTAGGAAGATGGAATACCTGAGGGGCTTTCAGTGACATCGAAAGGATTGTCACTGGCAGAAGCAAAGATGTCCTCGAGAGGATGGACATTCTTATGCTGAGGAGCATCGAGAGGAGCAGCCTCAGGTCCATTGGTGCGTGTCTCAGTATCAGGAAGGACAGTCGCTGATACATCATCGACATGTGTAAAGACCAAGGAGGGAGGAGAAGAGAAAATGRTTGAGAAAAGACGTGGGTGTTCAGCGGTGGCAGCGTTGATATCTACACTTTCAGTGATTTGGGTCACTAAAGTGATTGGTGAAGGTACCACTGATACGACAGTGATGGGAGAAATCACTGAAGAGCTGAGAGGGATAACAAAAGACGCCTCAGGGGTAAGGCTAGTTTCAATAA